CTTTAGGATGAGAGTGCTAGTTGCTCCATTTCACTGTGGACACTTGATTAGTCTATCTTCATTTCAGCCTTTCTAGTGAGTCTGCAGTGATACTTAATTGTGGTTCTAATTTGCATAGCCTTAGGATAAATGCAGCTAAGCATTTTCTGGTATGTTTTCTGGTATGTTTATGGGCAATTTATATACTTCATAAAGTGACTGTTTATGCCTTTCATCTATTTGCTTGTTACATTCTGTCTTTTTCTTTTGACTTGTGTTTTTCCAAGGCCATAAATTGCAGCAGGAAGATACTGCCATCTTTCTTCCTCAGAACTGCTGAGGGATTTAAACCAGAGATGTGCAGGTGTGCAACACAGTGAGGACTATACTACCTGTGCTTTAATATTAGCACCTTTTAAAGCACGCTCTATGGATGTTTTTAACTAGATTTTAGTGAGAATTACTTGGAGATATATATATATATATATATATATACTTATTTTTCTTGCATATACACACATATGCTTAAGATAGTACTATTTAGAGCATTAAATAAATAATAAAATTGTATCTCAGCCATTAGTATTGTGTGGACTATTCAAAAGCAAATAAAATAATTTATTTAGTCATAGCCTCTATTCCCATACATAACTCCTACGTGGCCAGGATTGCAGCTCTCTTGGGAAATTTCTTTTCCTGACATGGTAGCCTGACTGATGAAAGAATGGAAGTGATTAGTTAGAGAAAGGCAGAGTTGATGCTTGCCTTCTGATTTTCCTGGGAGGAGAGAGAGTAATGCAGTACAAGGACCAACACACCTGGGAAAGCAGTGAAAACCGTGCTGAGTTGAGCAGAAAATCTCAAGTGCCATTCATTTAATTTCTTCAACAAAATGTTGGGAGTTCCGTAATTGTCATTTGAAGAGCTCTGGCTTGGTAGTGGTTTGAAATGCTTGCCAGGTTTGTATTTTTAAAAAGATGAGACAGTCTTCTCCCATGAAGATCATCACCTTGGGAGCTCTATAGAGTCATTCTCCTCTGCTGTGTTGTTGTTGTGTACCATCAAGTTAGAACAAACCAGCTGACCCTCCAGCGGGTTTTCAGAGGCTCAGGAGGAGATTACTCATCCTTCTCCAGTGGAGCAGCTGATGAGCTCAAACCATGTGCCTTCGGGATTGCAGCACAATTTCTTACCACTAGCCCAGGAGTTCTATTGTGTTTGTGTATCATTGTTACCATTCATAGCTGATGCTCCAGCAGGTTTTCAGGAGATAAGATTACTCATCTCTTTCCTGTGGAGGAGTAGGTAATTACGTGGTATGATAAGCCTTGTTATAAAATAATATTATGACTTGATTCATTATGATATATATCAGATTATATGCAATACTCTGACACCCAGCTACATACAGGAGGTATCTTGCCTAATTTTGCCAAATAACTTATACAAAAGACAAAGGTTTGTTCTATCTGGTTATAAGGGATACATTATACTTTTTTTATTTATATTCAAAGACCTGCTTATTATGTTTTCGCTCATTTTTTTTAATCTCAACAAGTTTTTAATTTTAGAGAAAGTAAGCTATCTTGATGTTTTGCAATATACGTTTGGCCAGACTTCTGCTGTATCTTATGCTGACTTAAGAGCATAGCAAAATGCAGGGGAAATCTCACTTGGGGCAGTTCTGTGTTATAGGGTGCCTGGGGATTGGAATTGACTTGAGGACTTACAGCAATAGCTTGTGGTTAAGAGCCAAGGAATCTGTCCTGACTTATAGAGACTCTGCTGCTTTTGCAACAAGAACTACAACAACAAAGTCTGAAATAAGGTGTCTGAACGATCCAAACACTAACTAACCTGTGCAAAAAAAGAGGGGGAAAAGCACATTATTTCCATTTTTCATTTGCAAATACCTCTTTGAAGAAATTAGTCCTGATAAATCAATATTAAATAGCTGGTTTTTAAAATTAAAACAGTAAGCTTGAGGTGAGAGAATTGATGAAAAGATAGTTTCTATTTATTCAGAAGATCTACCAGTACTTTAAAACAATCTGTGTTTAACATGGAAAATTGTCTGTCATTAAAATGCTAATGAAATGGTAAACAGCTGCTAAGTTTTTATGCTAATGAATGGTGGCAACTAAGTAGTTCTCAGGCCTTGTCTCTATTAGCATAGAGATTTGATTGGGTGGAGGGGGGAATCATTGTACATTCTGACCTTTGTTGATGTGACAATCTGTTTGTCAAGTTCTTTGTTGCATTCTATTTGATTTTAGTTTGTTTGCACAAAGTGACTCTTGCCAGGCCCTTGGGGACCATGTATTACACAGTGTTATCAAAGCTACCATTGTCAGCTTAGAGAAAGAATCTTTACTACCCTTTGGGAGAAGACTTACAATTGCAAAATAATTATAAATGTGTGCATCAGGCTGCTTTAGGTAGAATAATTCTTTATATTTATTATGTTTTAGACTTTTTATAATTGTAATAATAAATTACAAAAGAAATTGGTATGTTTCTGTTTTCCAATTTAGCTGATTTTTAAAGCAAAGCTTTTAAAATAAATCTTTTTAGAAAATGCTTTGCAAACATTTGATATATTGGCATCTTTGTTCCACAGTCACTGCAGTTAGCAAGAAATGTATCATACCCATTTAAGAGTTATTGTTCTTATACCAGACCCTCCAGTGGGTCTTCAGAGGTAGTTAATCTTACAGGAGGAAATTGCTCATCTTTCTCCTAGGGAGCAGCTGGTGGATTTGAACCACATACCTTTGAATTCGCAGCACAACTGCTTACTACTATGTCACCTATGCTCCCTTATTTAGAAGAGCAGTGTGCAATTGTTATTGTTGTCGAGTACCTTCAAATCAGAACTGACCCATGGCTGACCCTCCAGTGGGTTTTCAGAGGCAGTATACCACATGGGAGGAGATTGCCCATCCTTGTCCCACAATATGTAATTAAATACATTATATTATGTGAGTGCTAGACTGAGATCAGAATGCTGATTTTGACATCCAAGGCCGGGGGCAGGGGGGGGGGGACCACAAACAAAGCACATACTACTCTTTAATCTATATGTGTGGCCACTTGTGTTTTTGCTGATTCTTACTCCATGTCACCAGTAATGGGCTTAATCTAAAGATTTGCTGCTGCAGATCAAGGTTTCAGGTAGTCTGCTCTCTTTTTTCTAACTTTAGCATCAATGCAAAGGAAATGTGACAGTTCATTAAACACTATTGTCCACAGTTCTCTGGAATCACCTGAATGAATAAATAATAAATAGAATAGAATAGAATAGAATAGAATAGAATAGAATAGAATAGAATAGAATAGAATAAGTCCAGGGCTTATTTTAAAAATTCATCACCAATAAAAATATCATTGAAAAATAATTTTTTCATGATTGTGAGATACTGTATGCAGAGATTTTTTTAATAGTGTAAACATTTCAGTAGAAGCTTTTAGGCATATAATTACTGCATGGTCATATATAGTCTTAGCCAGAAAAAATGTAAATCCTCATACACTCAAGGTGTTAATATAAAATGGTTCTGTTACTTTAGAGAACAATCTGGCAGTTCTCAAAGATTAGTTATAGAGTTACAGCATTCTTAGGTATATACCAAATAGAATTGAAAATATACCCACACAAATACTTGTACAATAATATTCATATAGACATTATTAATAATATCAAAAGTATAAATCGTACAAATGGTGTTAAACTGATGGATTGCGTGTTTACAAAATATTATTTCATAATTAAGTGTATTATGTATGATGAAGCTCAGCATATAGATGAATCTCAATGCTAATATTGTGCTAAATGGAAGAAGTCAGATGCCACATACTTTAGAATGTTACTTAAATGAAAGAAATGTCCAGAATAGTCAACTGTTCTAATGACCTAGTAGTAAGAAGCTGCATCATAATTCCAAAGGCATGCTTTGGAGTCTACCAGTGTTCCGTGGGAGAAGGATGGTTAGTCTTCTCTCATGTGATTTTCTGTTTCTGAAAACCTGCTGGAGGGTCAGCTATGAGTAGATTCCAATGCAAAAGCACACAATAACAATCCTGTGGGTTGAACTAAGTATCTAAAGAAACTTGGACTCACTGTCATTGAGTTGGAAATGGTGCTGCATTAACCCTCTAATGGGCTTTCTGAGAATATAAATTGCACAGGAGTACATTATCCATCCTTCAGCTATGGAGCAGCTGGTGGATTTGAACCACGTGCCTCTTGATTGGCAGTGTAACTCATTACCACTAAGCCACCAGAGCTCCCTCCCTACTGACAAGACCACCAAAATATCTAAAGAAGTAATGTAAAAATTAAAAGGAACCTTCTTTTAGTAATGTAAATTTCTTTAGCAGTTGAATTCAAATACTTGACTTCTCATCTCAGACCTTCCCTAGCCCCTAATATCCTGCCACCAACCAGACCATAATTACCCCTTTTTTCAGTTTTCTGGCTGTCTAATGTCTAGACTACCTAGCTCCCTCAAACTAAGAGCAACTTTCAATTTGTTATTGTAGAAAATAGAGTGAGTCATAGTTTTCTTGGGAGCAGACACTAACTATAAGAGTTCAAGATGTTTCCCCTTGTAAAAGCCCTATAATTATCTCTGATTTGCATAAAGCATGTCTCCTAGTCACTCTGTACCTGAGTAGGAAAGAGTATCTGCTTCCAGGGTCAGCTCCTTTTCATCGTCCTGAGTTTTGGTTGGTCAAAGATGAGGAGTCAGACAAAGAGAAATCCTCATGCTGCCCCACTTACTGCAGGATCCCTGCACTTTGTATCTGAACAGCCCTGGCCTTTGCCCTAAAGAAGGCTTCTGCATTGCTCTCTTAGCAAGGAAGAAGAGTCCCCTTCGTTGTATGTACTCCTTCTGCGCTCTATCCTTTTTTCCTGTGTAAAATCTTGCTTGCCGGTTACAACTCAGTGGTCTTATAGGCTTAGAAAGAGGATGAGTATGAACGAGATACTGAATTCATTTGTGTTTTCTTCTTGGCAGGCAGTACATGCCACACTACTCCCCTCCCAGCTCTTGTGCGCACACCCACTCTGATGATGCAGCCTTCACTGGATATCAAACCATTTATGTCTTTCCCAGTGGACAGTAGTTCTGCTGTTGGGCTCTTTCCAAATTTTAACACAGTGAGTAATTTCATTTTAATTTTTCTTATGCCCTCCTTGATCGCGTTCATTTCTGTCACAGAAAAAGCCAATAAATACAGCATGTTCCTTTGGCATGTCGTTTTAGACCATAGATTGGTTACATTGCTCAGCTGTGCAAACAGGATCATTTACAGGAGTTAGTCCAAACAATAGCCAGCATATTTATCTTATAGATATTTTCTCAAATGATATTTTAACTGTTGCTCTGTGCATTACTGACGGACTTTTCAATGGCTTCAGAGCATATATAACTTTGGGGATGCTGCTTACATGCTAAAGAACACAATTTAAAAGTATCAAGTCACACTGATTTTCCCCCACTGCTACTAGAAAGAGAGAAAGGAAAACAAACAAACAGAAAAATCCCTGTAGGCTGTATCTCCCTGGGTGCATTTTTATTTGGGAGCTAAGATAAAGTATGACTCTCTACTAATGGAATTTTTATTTGAAGGTTTTCATAGATCATGTGACTCTGACTCTATTAATAAAAAGAGAACATTCGTTTTAAATTTACTTATTAGTAGTCTGCACGATACTTTGACATCTCCTTTGAAACATGCAATAAACACTAATGAATTACCTGTAATTTACAATCTCCTTCATTTAGGCCCGCTGACCTTTATTTGAATGAAGGGCACTTTGGACGTTTGCTAAGTGGAGCATAACATCTTTGAACAATAGAATTTACCAGAATAGCAATCTGTAGCTAGATTCTAGGCAGATAGTAAAGGAAAAGGTTACAGTTCAGACAAGTGCATGAATTATGCCTGTTCAGTCAATAAATACAGTCCGCTTTGCTATGATGTGAACCATGAGTGATACAACATTCGAGATGCTACCGTAAATTGCATTATCAACACTACCAGGCAGTGAGCATCTGAAGTACTGCCAACTGTTTCCTTCTGCAAACATCTTCTGTATGAAGTGAAAACAGTGCGAGGGTTTTTCCTCAAGGGTTGTAAATAAAATCTGCTGACAGGCCTTCTGTCTTGGCTTAGGGTTGTAAGGTAATTAGGAGACTAGTGAATTAGTTAACTTTTTAAAGAACATTAGCCTTAACTTTGAGAGTATCTAGTCGAATGTTTTTGTCTTTGGATTTTTCAGAAACAAGTCAAACAATTGGGAGGAAAGGGGAGGAGGGATAAAAGGTGAGCGTCATTTCTAGAGCAGTGGAGCGGCTCAGTAAGCTAAATCGTGCTGGCCCTGGCCACATCCATCCACCGGGAGTGACCTTCCCAAAGCACCACACAGTGCTTTTTCAGAGTCTAAACTCAAACAGGTGTGTCCTCCATTGAAACATGTGTGATGAACACATAGCCCAACTGGGATTGAATTAAGCTATACTTCTTCCACGTTGTTATTTTGATTCATGTGCACTTGGAGTAATGTTTACCCATGTTGTTATTTTCAGTCATGTCCATTTGGAGGACAGCATTTCTAGCAGCTGCTGAAGTCTAGTCATTGTCAGCAGCATTGATGATGTGGTTGGCAGAAATTACTCCTATTGTGGTCACTGCTCTGTGCTTTTTTTTTTATCCCTTTAAAAAAAGAAAGAAAACCAAAACAAAGATGAGTGATATGTGTATACTTATCTCAAAGATTCAAATAAAATGTTAGCATTCAGGGCAGAATGAGAAAGTCACTGTCTCTTGCCCTTTGCACCCTCTTACATCCTTCCCTGGAGGTAAAAGCTGTCAGCAGCTGTATCCTGCATCCTTTCAGAAGTATATTACACACATATACTTAATAATCACTGTTGCCTTTTCATAACTATAATCACATGATTATCACTATTCTGAAACTCATTTGTTTTAAGGGATCAAAATGCCTATTTATGTTTCTCTTTTAAGGACTATTAGATCTGGAAACAGTATTTTCATAAATTTTAAGATGCAAATATGGTTTTTATAATAGTTAATCAATATCTTGTAGAGCTTGCAAATGCACTAATAGGGCTTCTTACTTGGTATGCTAACAATTAGCCTTATATTTGAGGAAGTTCAAGAATAATACTCATAACTGACGCTCACTTTTTCCTTTTTTTGGAAGAAAATAAATCTTTCATTTTCAAATGAAAATGCCATTTAAAAAATGTAAAAAAGAATGAGTTGAGCCATTTCCTCTCTTCTTTCTTTATTATAACAAGGGTGTTTGCTAAACAGAGCCCTGTGGTGCTATCTATTCAAAATGAAGACCAGAGGGACTTTCTATGATCTTGTAAAGAAATAGATGTATATATAGAATGAAGGGCGTGCTTAGGAGTTTTCCCTGCTGCTGTTTAACTTCTTCCAATCCTTTTTGTTACACGCTTTTCCACATAAGTACACAACCCACTCAATAGATCTCCTCAGGCAATTTCATAGCCACACTTTTCTAGGAAAGTGTTACTGCCTTAAATCACTACTAATAATTATAGGACACTTTTTATATATCTGTTACTTCACATCTGTCAAAAGACTCCACCTTTGGAATACTTTGGTGGGTCATGATTATTATTTGTCTAGTTGAGGAAAATTAGTAAAGGGAGAACTGAGATGTGAATTGAAATTGTCTCAAAATTCATGTTTTGGCTTTTCTTTATCTTTGTCTCTCTGGGCTCTCACCACCTCGCATTTTATTCAGTGTGAACAAAGTTAAATCAGAAATCTTTTGTGCTTTTTATTTTCTGGAAGCATAATAGTTTTTAGCAGAATAGTTTAATAGGAAGATAAAGGACATTTTTTAATGTGTAAAATGCACTTTTACATACAATATCTATAAAACAGAATGTGTTTTTAAAACAGATAACATTTATTACTGACTGATTTTTCAGAAGTATGTTCTATGCTATAATCTACTTGATCTTTGAAAGCCAAGGTGAATGTCATCCTATCACTTTACTTTTCACCAAAACTAGTGTTAATATATATAGGAAATATGGTCTGTTTTAATCTCTTAATTGTTATAAGAAGAATGAAAATGCTATACCCTAAAGGTATAATTTGAAGCCTTATAGTTCAAAATATAAAATTTTAAGTGAGTTTAAAATATATAAAAATAGTTTTCTCTTTTTTTATGGTGGAATAAAATACTGTTACATGATACACATAACAAGAATGAGAGTCTGTAATTCTAAAATTGAATATGCTACTGTTCTATGGTAAGCTATTTTTAATAGTTACATATCACAGCATTCATTGAGTGATTTTCTTGTTATAAACTCCACAACTAACAAAATCTCTCTCAATAATTAAATAAGCAATAAGGAAAGAATTTGAAATATTGCCCAACTTGAATTGTGAGGAGATGTGATGTTCAAGATGGAGTTGAAATCCTTGATAATTTACAATGGGCCGTATGTCAAAGGAAGCCTGACTAGGGAAGCCTGATCTGTCTCTGGTGCTTCGGCAGCTGTACGTTAGGAAGGAGGGTGTTCTGAATCACTTGCAGTTAAAAAAATATACAAACCCAAACATAATTTATTAAAAATCCAGTCTTCCTCCCTAAAGCCTGCCTGACTCCCTACTTCCATCACTTCTACTCCACTTTTAACTGTCATTGAAGGCTCAACTTAGATATCACTGCCTATAGGGGAAGTCATCTATGACCCTTGAGGCTGATTTAAATATTCATCTTATCTGTTCCCAAAGTATCCTCCAGATTGCCTCACTATTTATAACATTTCTAAACCATAATCTAATTAACTATCTAAATTTTTCATACAGTGACAAGTAGAAAACCTAGTGGGGGAGGACAGAAGAGAGACGTGCTCCAGGGCATAAGTCCAATGGGGAGCCAGACAAGGCCAGCCCCTTGATGACTATGAAGGGCAGGAGTAAACTTGGATCCTCCTTGGGTTCTGATTATGTTCACTATGAGTTTGATAACAGGAGCTATCCCTTGTTTATCTTTGTATCCTTGATGTCTGGTACAAATGCTTAATAAAATTCTTGAAAGAAAAGAAGAGGAGCAGATAAAAGAGCCCTAAGCCCCTGATATTCAATATTTGTGTTTCCTCATTATGCAGTTGGGAATGAGTGTGTTTGAGACGGCGAGGTTGGCACAGTATAGAACGGCATTTAGGGCTCTTGTACATAGGGTCAATATGAGTCGCAAGCGACTCAATGTCACATAACAACAACATTATGCAAAGAGAATACCAACATTTCTGAGCCCCTAATAATGACAAGAAGCTGCACTGTGGCTCAAGGCCACCAGCCACTCTGCTGTAGAAGGATGGGCAGTCTCCTCCCATGTAATTAACTGCCTCTGAAAACCCACTGCAGGGCCAGCTCTGGGTCATTTCTGACTCTGGTACAGAGCAACAACAATGATAAATATTAAGCGTTTACTTTTATTTTTATCTTTTTATAAATAATTTTTATTTTATTTTATTTTATTATTTTTGTGTGTGTGTACCGTCAAATCAGACCTGGCTGGTACAGTAGGAGATTGTCCCTCCTTCTCCAGCAGAGCATCTGGTAGATTCAACCATGTGCCTCTGGGGTTGCAGTGCAGTATCTTGCCACTAAGCCACCAGAGCTCCCATAAATAAAATTTGTATTGTGATTTTAACAAAGTTCACATAACACTTGGATTTCCATTCATTCATTCATTGTTGCAAAATTCCCTCTCTTCCCCTCTCCAGTCTACTTTGCTATGCATCTCTTATTCTGGACTGATGTCATGCAAATAATAGCCAATCATATATTCCTTTTAAACAGTTCTTAACCTCATCTGTTTCAATTCAGTGTTCATTATTTATCCTCTCTTTTCTTAGTTTCCCCCCAACCCCCATGTCAGTCCTGTTTTATAACAGAGGCATTATGCAGTATTTGTTCTTTTGTGATTGAGATATTTCACTCAGCATAATATACTCCAGGATCACCCATTTTGTATAATATTTTGTGAGTTCCTTGTTTTTCAGTGCTGAATAGTATTTCCTTGTGTGAATATACCACATTCCTTGTTTTTCAGTGCTGAATAGTATTTCGTTGTAT